TTAGGGTTTATCAGTGGCCTGACAGGAAGGTCTTTTATCAAGATGCAAGCTCCTGGACTCTAGACAGGGATGTGTATTACTTACTCAATTTTAAGATCAAGCCAATTAGGATACAACAGAGGGTTATAGGCTCTGGTACACATCTGCACCAAGACTCTTCAGTTGGTGATGGGAGTGGAGTGCCTTGGAGCTTTAAAGTTATCTGTGCCCAATGGCCTATTTTTCATGGGGTCCCTGCTGATTTGGAAATCACTTCCTCACATATAATCCTCTCTCGTTGCTTACTGACTTAAAATCTCTTTCCCCCCAATTATTGGTCTCTAAATAACATATGTAAAATTGTTGTCAATTTTTGACTACTAATTGTTGTCAAGAAATTCAACGGCTAGCCCAGGAGAAAGGTGAAAAAATGTGGGAAAAAATATATGTCTTAGAATTCATGAAATACAGTATTATTTCTCTCTACAAACACTGGCACTATAGAAAGCTGACCTAACTGGCCTTCAACTGCCGGCCATCTCCAAAGCAACAGGACAGTCTGTTTGCAAGGCAAGGACACTGGACTGGGTTCTTGCCCCAGCCGTTGTTAAAGAATCACATAACTCTCTTCGGCCTCAGTTCAGCATCTCCACTCTGAAGGGATTGGGCTCCAGTGCCTTTCAAATTTAACATACAATTCTCAGAAGTAAAGAGAAGTCCTGAAAAATCTTTTAAGACTCCACTGAACTGCATATGGTTGACTTGTAACTTGGAAGTTTCACATAGATACAGAGTTGCATTTATCATGAGGAGGACATAAATGTCACTGATACTTCACCAAAGCGGCCAGATGCCTGCATACACCCATCTCATGTTTTGATATAGAGAAGTGTGTTTGAAACACAATGTAGCCCACAGTCATTGCTTACTCTATGCACTTCTCTCTAGTAGCTATTTTTCAATTAAGCCATCCAATTCAGAACATTACACAAAAGTCACCTCATCTCAAAATTTAAAGCAGTCTCAAATATATAAAGTTAAGATGCATAGAGCAGTTTACAAGAAAATTCAATGTTTGCTCTAATCACAAGGAATTCCTGAAGAAATGCAGGAACAGCTCTCTAACTAGTATTCATGTCTGACCTCAGGCAAAGACCACAGATATTGCAAAATATGTCTTTACTCTTCCTTTGTGTCACCTTTCAGGCCCTACAGACTCAGTGCTGGGTGGGTGCCCATTTAGAATTTCTTCCCTTGGCCTGCCTCAATTCCCTTTCTTCCCCATGTCCCCTTTCTGCCCAGAGCCCAACTCTAGTCAGAGGACACCCCCTTGGCCAAGGTACCAGGGACCTCTGGCCCTGATTGGACAGGAAAAGGTGGCTTTCATAGTCTTTCTAAGGGTGCAAGTTTAGATCTTTTTAATTCTTCATAGCAGACATTTGCGATACAACCAAACCCTTTTCTTGCCAAACGTAATGGCCTCACATAACAGAATAGCTAGAGCAGAGGTCCTGAGGCAGGATGAGGCCTGGGGTATTTGAGGCACAGTGAGAAGAAGGTCAGGGCGGCTAGAACACAGGGAGAAAGAGGAAGAGCAGATGCGAGCAGCTCTCGGGGACCCACTGTGTGGGCCCCTGGTTAGGCCTGTCGCATGGACTTTACCTTTTACCCTGAGTGACATGAGGAGCCAGTGCAGGGTTGTGATAGAGAAGCCAAGTGCTCTGACAGTGTTTTACTGGGTCCCTCTGGCTCCTGTGTCGAGAAGGGTCAGTGGGAAGTTAAGGAGACAGGTAGGGAGATCAGTGAGGAGAGTGATGTGAATGATGATGGAAGATTGAACTAAGGTGGAGAGCGGTGCAAGTGGAGAGACAGCAGGCAGATTCTAGACCTATTTTGAAGGTTGAACTAACAGGGTCTCTTGGTGAGTTGGATGGGGAGTATGAAAGGAATGGAAAGGGGGAAGGTGATAGTGCCTCCCGTGTGGACTTTTACGTAGGGAAAAAATGGTTGTCTTGATATTTTTCAGAATGGTATTGTGAGTAGAAAGAGTTCTGAATGGAGCCTAATTCTAAATCCCAGGCCCTGGGACAAGAAAATGTTTCATTTGCAGAGAATATGGTGCTTTCCTCACGTCCAACATGTGTGGACTTCATATTTAGATGCATTTTTTTATAGATCTCATTTCATGACCCAGTGAAAGCTTTGTGAAAACTTTGTAGCATCCTAAAAATATAATGGTAGGAATTTCACATTTTTCTTTCTTAATTTGTAAGTAAACCCTTTTGTTTTTAAGGCTGAAATCACTACATTTAAATCTTTCTTTTAAAGACTATTTCTAATCCACTACATTCAAGTCATTCTTTTTTGGTTTTTTATTTATTTTTATTGTACTTTTTTCCATTACCGTTTAGGCCCCTTATACCTGCCTCCCCCCAACCCCCACAACCCCCACTCTGCTGTCTGCATCCATGAGCTCCTTTTCCTTTGTGCACAATCCCTCCTTTTAAAGGCCATTTGTAAACCCAGTTAATCCAAGTGTTCAGGACACTGCTTTGGGAACCTACTTGGTAGCCCGTTTCTTCTGAAGAATTCTCGACAATGTCATTTCAAGGTCACACTTCACCAAAACCTTGTAATAATGACTAATGTTTTTATTTCTGATCATCAACATTTAGTACTATTTTAACTGCCTTATCACTAACATCACAAGTTAAATGTTAATATTTTATTTCATATGTTAACTGCCTGAAATTCCATGGTTTTATGGAATCAAAATTGTTTCTTATAATTAAAACCCAAAGTCAAGTATTAAAATGCAAAAATAAAATTACACTTTGAATAAGCAGGTATTTTTGTGTCTTCACAGAAAACAAAATAAGGAGACATCCCAAAAGCTACTCTTTTCTTCCGTTTTCTCACATCTCATTGGCTGCATGACCCAGAGCGCCCTGGGGTCCCCTTCCCCCATTTTACTGGCACCGCACTCTCCAGGCACAAATTCCCTCCATCTCACAAGGTTCTTCTTTGGCCCTTATTTTCCTTGGTCTTCCCATACTCACTAGGAAATGTCTGCTTAAAAAATGAATAATTTGGTTTGGTTTTATGATCTAAATCAGCTATTTTTGACCTCTTGCTTCTCATGGCACACATAAACTAATTACTAAAATTCTGCAGCATACCAAAAAGTATATTTTTTGCCAATATGACAAAAAATAAGTATGATTTTGCATCATTCACACTGGATGGTTATTTTCTGTTTTGTGTTTTTTTAATTTGACAGTCTAAAGGAAAACGGGTCAATGCCCTTGACTAAATAATTGCATGTTTTAAAAATTCTTGCAACACATCAGTTGAAAATCGCTGGTCTTAGTACGATTTTTACACTTCGTGAAAAACAGATATTGTGTAAATAAATAACAAATGGTGCTGTAATATTGTAAACTCATTCCTTCCTGTTAACAAAAAAACAGTAATAGAATATCATATTAATAGAGTAATTTCAGTCCTGAAGAGGACCCAGGGGCATGTTTAAAGCATTTCCTTAAGGTATGATAGTACCTTAGATGGCAGGATAAAGGACATTCCTACACAACTGACTTCATAGAATGTACAGCCTTCTCAGAGGTACCAAATAATGCAAGTGTTCTAGACTAAGCAGGCAGCTTTGGGGGAACTTACTTGAGATGGGCATATATTGGAAAAAGATGTTATGTGCATATAAGAATTAGTTTTTAAAAGTGTATGCAAGACATTCTTATTTTGTTTTGTTTTCCATTTCAGTGGAGCATGATCGGCATACTGTACTGTGTAAGTTTAAAGTGTATGGCACAATGACTGATACTGTGAAGGGATGTACAGACGTTTTGCTGATTTCTTTTTATTCCCTCGGGTTAGCTGTCTTTTGTTTCCCACTTTAATAACTCCTAGGAATTTCTCAGACCTATGGATGCAGCACTGTGCTTCCTGTCACTCTGCTCAGAGCCCCAGGCTGATCTTTTCATCTTGTTCTATTTGTCACTTACAACCTCCTGTCAAGTCTGTGCACTGTATGTCCGTGACCCCCCCGACTCCTCTCTGTCCTTACTGCCATGGCTCCCAGGTCAGAGCCACAGAGGAGCATCTTCTGATCACCCATTCATTCGCCCAGGATTTACGGAGTTTCTCCAGACCCTGGGGACACAAAGACCAATGGCTTCCTTGCCCTCAAGGAGCCAATCTATTGGGGACATAGACCACAAACGGGTAGCTCATTGAAGTACTATATTCCTAAAACTGTTTTGAAAAAGTCACTGTTCTCTTTTTTTCTTTAAGATTTTATTTATTTATTTTTAGAGGGAGGGAGAGAGGAACAGAGGGAGAGAAACATCAATGTGTGGTTGCCTCTCTCTTGCACCCCCCTACTAGGGATCTGGCCCAGGCATGTGCCTTGACTGGGGATTGAACCAGTGACCCTTGGGTTCGCAGGCTGACCCTCAGTTCACTGAGCCACACCAACCAGGGCATATGTTATCTTAAATTATGTGCCTTTGTTATTCTCAGATATAAGTATTAAAAAAGTATGTTAAATATGAGTTATATTTTGCCTTTTTAGGATTAATGTTACTTACAATAATAGTAAAAGCTTAAATTTTCCTTTGGAATATACATTTTTAAAACTTCTGTGCTACCTTTGATGGCTAGAGCTTTCATTGACAAGCGTCTCTTCACAGAGTTAATACACTTCTTTAGGAATGACTATCTACTCTCAGAACAGTTCCACTCTGTGATTAAAGATCTGTACATTTGGATCTATATTGTGTACATGTGTTTTTCCTGAATTCAGATTTAATGGGCTGACTTTCCCTCTGATGAGTGGCAGCTAGCCCATCATTCCCAAACAATGACTAGAAATAATCACTTCCGTGGATCATCGTCTTTCTAAATTTGTTTAGGAAAGGGAATTTTCAAAGTAAGGCGAGAAGGACAATAACTCTTTTATGGGCAATCATGATATATAAACTATCGTTCTGTTTTCATTCTAGCTACAAGAAGACACATGAAACCCTGAGTCACGCAGGGCAGAAGGCCACCGCGGCATTCAGCAATGTCGGAACAGCCATCAGCAAGAAGTTTGGAGACATGAGGTATTGTGGGAGAGGGCCGTGGCTTTCCGAGAGACGGGGAGCATTATCTATTGGCTGGTCTTCCTAACATATTCTTTTTTAATTGATTAAAATATTATGTGGTAGATAGTAATTGGTAACTGAGATTAATTTTTATATTGAGATATTTTCTGACTGAGGGTCAGTTTAGTGAGCGACCTCATACCAAAGATGCCTTTTCCTCTGAGGCCCAACCTAGTAAAACTAGAAGACAGAGGATGTGAGGGGAGATTTCCAAAGTGCATTACACACGGAATTTTAGTTGTTGTAATTTAAACAATAAGTTAAAATATGCATCCAGTGGAATGTGCTCTGGTAAACTACTCTGGTTACAGTTTTATATAATATAAGTATTATTTTATTCCAAAAAGGTACCTTATGGTTTATATACAGGGTCCAGCACAAATAACGCATCTTTTTATTACAAAATCTTTTATTACAAAATGATAGGCATGTAATTCTGTAACATAACAATATCACACTCAAGCACACGATATGACATTTTAGATGAAATGTTCAAATTAAAACTATAACTTATTACACCCATATTATTATCCTACCACCTACACTCAAGCAGGCCTTATTGTTGCCAGACCCTGTATCTGGTAGTTTTCTTTCTTCACTTTGGCAATATTATGAATATGTCCATAGCTGTCTATTATATCATCATTTTTAGTGTCTGTATTAGCTTCCAGTGCATAGCTGTAGCCAAACTTCTGAATAAGTCCCCTTGCACATTTTAGTTATTTTCATATTTCACTATTACATAAAATTAGGGTGAATATCAAGGTTTTGAACTGACAACCAAATGTCCTTGCTATAGTCACCAGAAAAACATTGTAGTATTGACCGTCATTTTTTATATTATGTGCTAAGGAATTACATAGAATTGTTACTACTATGGTTTTTGCTCATTTAAATGCCTATCATAGTTTATTTTGAATTTAGCCTATCATAGTTTATTTTGAATTTATTTTGAATTATATTTTGAATATAAGTGAAAGGTTACACTTATAACCTTTTTCTTGATAATAAATCAGTTTCATTTTTCTCTAGAAGTCACATTTATTCTTTAAAAACTTTCAAAATACATTTTAAATTTCTTCTTTTAAAAGGATTTTTGTGTATTATTTTATTGGATTCTTAAACTATTAATTTCTTATTACCCTGCAGCTTTGATACCTAGAAGCAAATATTTATATCTTTGTGTTTAAGTTATTTTTGGCTTTAAATATTGCTAGATTGTGCCCAATATTAATGCGCCATCCTAACAATTTGGCATTCAAAAGGCTAAGTTAAATAAGTACCTGTACAGTAATCCGAGTATTTTTACTAATAATGCAATAACGAAAGCCATTGACATTCTTCAGAAGCAGCATGTGATTAATGGATAAACATTATGAATTATTAATTAACCTTCATTTTATTGCAAATAAAATTTTCAATCATTTCAATGGCACTAAAACATTGATCTAAACTAATTAAATAATTTCTTGATTAGGGAAGACCCTATTATCTGTTATTTCCAAGGAAATAGATTCAGCCATGTTTATAAAATTCATTCTCCATATGCTTGAAACCTTTCATTTGAACACTGAGACCTCAGTGTTTCTACATCCTTAGGGGACCTTATAAATATCTCTGAATCTTGTTTAGAATACATATTTCCAGATTGCACGTCTCTGAGCTTGTGCCTCAGTAGGCCTTAGGTGGAGCCTAGGAATGAATCTACATTAGTAACGGTCTCCCATGTGATTGGACTTCAAGGGGTCAGGTTGTGAGGAAGCCAGAGGGAACTCAGCTCACGTGTACCTGGGGGTTTTGTCAAATATGAAATGGGGATGAGAGTAACAATGTCACTGAAACTAGCTCAGAAAAAGAAATGTCATTTTAAAAGCAGAAAAGAGCTTATTGTATACTCAGCGCTCCATAAATTTTAGTTATTATCTTTACTAAATGACCGTCTCAGTTACCAGGTGGGCCCACATGACAGAAATGAGGAAGAATCCATTAACAGGCGCACACTGTATTTCATAAAAGCTTTGCTTGTTGTTTTCCTAAGTAGTACCTGTATTTTACATATGCAATATGTTGACATATTTGTGGTCATACACTAACTAGGTACAATATCAAGGTTGTGTTGACTACCTTTCCTCCTGTTTCTGCGTGGCTTTGTTTTAGTGTAATGGATAACCGATTTCCCAGGAGTTCCTAAACTTTTTACTGATTATTGCCCTATAGAGAGGACTCAACATTTTCATTGTGAACTGTGGCTGAACGTATTGGGAAATGCAGCCTGTGTTACTGGACATGCAGAAAATGGTCCTGTAATACTTTGTAAGCCTTTTTTTCAAAGCTTTGATATTCTCTAAATATAATATATAACATTTTATATAAATGAGGATAAGCCCTTGTGAAAGCAACACGTTTTGCAAAGAATTTTTAGTTTTAAATTAAGCTAAAAGAAGTAATATAAGTGAAAGTCTTACTTGAAAATTGCTTGAATTAACTAATAAATATTCTTAAATGAGAAAAATTAATGTTTTTTTTTGTTCAAATTAGTTTGATAGTGAGGAAGTTTAAAAATTGTATCATAAACATTTTATTTTGTATCCCTTTTTGGTTTAAAATATATTATTCTATAGTTACATGATAAAATTCACTTGTGCATTCTGAGAACACATTTCTGAACTCGTTCAAAAAGATTGCCACTAAAACTCAGATACCTGTGAAGAAAACCAGTACCTCTAATTTTTCTTTAAAACAATTCCAAGTTAATATGTATAGATTTTGAAAACCTAGAATTTGGCTCTTTTCTTAACTGAATGAAAAGCCCTATGTTATCATTTAAGTTGAATGTTTTGTAAAAATAAGTAATATTTCCCAAGCTAAGATTCTCTTTCTAACCTGATTGCTCTTAAATGAAGTGAGTCCCCTTAGCCCAGTCATGGAGTTGCTCAGCCTTCAATCCATGAAATAACATTGTTAAAAGCTACTTAACTAAAATGTTCCCTGTGGAGTTAAAATGAGGTCACATTTATGAAAGTTCTTTGAAGAAATGCAAGCTGTTGGAATAATTTTTATAATATTGGCATCTTCTTGGAATTTCTCATTGAGTTTGTTCAAATTGCATGTGATCTCGTGCAGATGAAATCTTTGGAGGAGGAACATAATTGTATTACAGAGTTTCCCCATCATTACGTAGCCATGAGAATAATAGCTAGAAGCACAGCTTATAACGGGTTGATAAAATAAGACACACTAAAACGTCAGTAAACTCACAAAGTGTAATGAATTACCATTTGCTTTGGGGCTCTTGAAAAAGGGGACAGCAGCCGCTGTGGTTGCTTTTGTGCAAGCTGATGTGCTAACTCTGCTCCCGCCCTTCTCTCCGCTGCTGCCGGGCTGCAGGTCTCACTCCATCGGGTAAGCGCCGCCTCTGTGGCCCTGCAGGGCCCCCTCGCCCAGCCGCCCTGTCCCTTCCTTCCCAGAGCTCGCTCTTCCCTTCCCACGGCGGGTGTGCCTCAGCCAAAACACTCACTCTCTTTTCCTGAAAGCGTCCATGACCAGGGAGTTAGAGGGAAGGGCACCAAATGTGTTCAGATTTATCTAAGCACATGATTATCTCATTTTCAATCATTTACATCTCTTTTTCTGCATCGTTACTTCCTATATTGACAGAGGACGTCCAACGGAGGGGAGAAAAAAGGGAATGTAGATATTGAGAGTTGTGTATTTTTAGAAAACTTATAGAAAATTGGGTCAAGAAACAGAAAGTTATTTGTCATGCTTTTCTGAACCTCTTGTAACTGCTGTTACTCATGAGGATGGTTCGTCTTCCACTTTCTATACCTTCTGAAGTTGAAGAGGAAAAAAAGTTCCTGGAGAAGCACACGTGTTAGGAAGTGTGCAGATGGCAGGACAGGCCTCTAAATTAAATGTTTTATTTATTTACTTATTTATTTTGAGCTAAAATCTCATTATATACTTTTTTTGAATTTGTATTTAAAGAGATTAATAGATTGATAATGCTGATGAATTTCTTGTAGTCATTCTTTTTTAATGTAATTTCTCAGGAAATACTTTGCCCATAGTTTCCAAAAGGGGTGTCCAAGGGAGGACCATAAGAATCCCCTGAATTTCTTTGTCCTTTTTTGTTTGAATTTTAATAAAGCTCCACCCATACTAACGACCTCAGTGGATATTGATGGGAAAGGGTGATGAGTTGGATCCTTTCCCAGTTAGCTTCCTGGCAGGAGAGAAAGCAGGGATGGTGTTGGAATGTATAACAGGGTAGCACCAGCCCAGGAAAATGGACCTCAGGTTGCTTCCTTCCTCCACCCAGCCTGATTTCTGACTGGAACTCACATAGAAATATCAGGCAATTAATTACAGGCAAAATGAGTCAGCTACTACTGGATTAGGGTGAAAGGGCTGAAGTCTTAAAGTTCTCAGAAGTGTTGATATTTGTACCAATATTATAGAATGAAATGGATGCAGGAGTCCCTGCTCCCACGTCTGACTGTGTGAATTTTGTTTGCCTGGCATGTGTTTCCTTCATTGTCTTGTGTTAACTACGGATATTCCTTCAGAGAGTTTCTCTACAATGACACGCTTAGCTTTTACCTGCCCAGCGCTACTTCCTGGATAAGCCTATGCTGTCTTCTTGACCAGGAGAGGAAGTGGAGAAGGAGCTAGACCTTAAGAGGATGTCCAGAGGCTACTGGGTGACCTGGAGAAAAACAGACATCCTCCTCAGATTCCCTGAACTACAGGGATCCTACAGGAAATAAAATAATATGCAGCCATGGACCACCTACTCTTCCTTTATCCCCTTGGAATCCATAGTGGCCCATGTTACCCAATGAAAACAAATATCTCGGGGGGGTGGGCAGCAAATACTTCAGATAGTTGAGATTGCTGTTTTAGAACTGTGAATAGGGCATTTCTTATGTACTTATATTGTGCTATCTTTTTCTTTCTTTTCTTCCCTTTAATCCGCTTTTGCCCCGAAGCTACTCCATTCGCCATTCCATAAGTATGCCTGCTATGAGGTAACGTGTGTAAATTATTTTACATAATATTAATGCCGAATATGTATGAAGTGTTAATATATTGATATTTTGTGACTTTTCTCTCCTTTATATGAAAGGATGTGCCATGACCTACTTTAATTCTCTTTTCTGATAGTCCTCAGGAGAAAAGGCTGACAATTCCGTAAAAGTATTGAAGGTACATTGAACTTGGGCTTTTGACAAGACACACTACCTTAAATTCAGCCTCTCCTGATTTGTGAGACCTGAGACAAGTTATTTAACTTCAATCTTCAGACTCTTATCTGTCTACTGGGAGAAATAAGACTTCCTTCATATAGTTGTTGTGAAATGTAAACCGAGTAACCTGTATTGTAAAGCACTTAGTACAGGGCCTACAACGTTCCGAGCACAGTTTCAAAGGTGGAAATATGTTTTTTATATCCCCAGAATTAAATGCAAGCCTGGAAGAAAATTTAAATGAAAGGATAGGAGATTAAGAGTGGTACAGTTTTAGGAAGGATATCACTAGGATTTTTTAAGGTATATGTTAAGGTGAGGTATATGTTGAACAATAAAAATGTCATTAAGCTTATCGGCTAGATGAAAACTGAGAAAGATCTTCTCTGCCTTCAGTTTGCTTGACTTTGTGTTACAGCAGATAAAATCAAGCTAATAGTACTAGAGTAAGTGAAAGTTAGACTGGGAATCAGAGGGTACAGGTTGCAAGCCAGCTGTACCAAGAGTGAGCTTTGCAGCCTTAGAAAACTCACCTCAACCATATGAGTTTCATCATGTTTACAAAAAAGGGCTAGAACCAGATTTACTGCTCTTCCCAAGGTATTGCCTTGGGTTGCCATGGTGATGGCGTTGGGGACTAGGAATCAAGCCCCTGAAACTCTCCTCCACTTCAGTTAAAACTGTGCCACTTCTACCTGCTTTATATCATATATTGTGGTGTGGATACATGATAGAGGGGGTTCAAGCCCCCTTGATTGAAGCCAAGTTCTTTTAAGGGTCATTTGCAGTGCTAAAAGTTGCTAGTTGCAATGATATAATTAAGTCTGAGTACCCTGTTCTCTCGCATGTATTCTGCTGTAATTTAATTAGAGGAATGTCTGTTTTATTATGTCCAGTGAAGTCTCTTCTACACTGGGGTTATTTGGTTACTTTGGGAATTTAATCACAGTATTCGATTTCTCTAATTTGGTGGCAGAGAATAGGTTCAAGGTTGCTTTGTTTATATTTGGATGACTCGTTCCCTCTAGCAAACAAACTCCCAAACTGAGTAGTAGAACCTGAGGCTCTGAGCTCTTTACTTGTTAAGTTTTAATTAAGGAACTTGCAAAAAATTAAAATGATTTTGCTCTGTGAACCAGTTATTCATGTAGTGGCTCATGGGTCAAATTCCGTCCCTGTAAAGTTGCCTGAAACTAACTTTTAAAAAAATGATTTTACTCATCTAACATATACCCATGAACCATTAGGCAAACTGGCTGCCCAGTGTGGTCTAATGTAGCCAACAGATGACGGCAGCCATCTGAGCAAGGTTGGCCAAATAGAACTTGCGGTGGAAGTCAGGTGCCAATAAGTGTCTACTTTAGGGACATTCAAGTATAATTTCACTAATACTTCCTGATGAGACAGAGATATTATGTCAGATTACTCATGGGAATTTGACTCATGTTTGAATCAATTACAAGATGTGATGCCATGCATGGGCCCTCTGATCTCACCGTTGTGAATTCATGTAGCCAGAACACAAACACATTACTGATCATCTGGAGCTTTAGGGTCTAGGGAGACATTCCTAACAAAGCCAAATTCACTTAAAAACCTATCCTCGACATTCTTTTCCCATTGATAGTATTAGAGCCATGCTTCATCCCACACTGTACGATGAAGCCTATATTTTATAGCCATTCTCCTTTCTGAAGTTTCTCCAGGATGTTCCTCTTATTTAATATTTTCTGCACCCAAGAGAGAATCCTAAGTGACTTACCAACTGAATTATTTGATCTGAAAACAATGACAGTCATTGTTGCTGAAAGCTGACATGGATACAAGATTTAAGACACATTTTTGCCCAGGCTGGTGGGGCTCAGTGGATTGAGCACTAGCCTGTAAACTGAAAGGTTGCCAGTTTGATTCCTGGTCAGGGCACATGCATGGGTTGCAGATCAAGCGACATTCCATGTTGGGGGTGTATGAGAGGCAGCTGATCGATATTCCTCTCACACATTGATGTTTCTCTCCCTTCCGCTTTCTCAAAAAATAAAGATATAAAGGCTTAAAAAAAGATTTACATTAGATGGTTAACTTAATTGCTTTAAAAAGACACATTTTTAGTTCAGTTCATGTTTCTTTAGTTGGACTTGGTGATATCGATTTTAACAGTAACGTCATTAAATCATGTCATATGGCCAAATCCAGTGTAGGAAACCAAAAAGCACCAGATGAAGTATTTAATGCTTATAGTTACAAATGGTATAGAGATTATTTAACACAATAATGAGTCACAAATAAAATGTCAATAGACTGTGAAGGTTCTCTCTGGTAAGAGAACAAATAGGTCTACCCTCTTCAGAAGGAAAAATACCACATGCAGGTAATACCATTTTTAACAAGTAGTTTTCAACTTATAATAATGAAAGCATGAACTTTCAGAAACACTACTTTATGGAAGTTGACCAAGTTTTGAAGGCACCGAAAAGAAAAAAAATTATAAACCTTTTATTCCTTGAACTACTTCTGTCTTGTTGCACAGTCACTGAAATAAACAACTTTAACATTCCAAGTGGGAAAACTCAAACATAACATTCTTTAGATAGACTTTGCATGCTTAAAAAAGAAAAAAGAATTGGGAAAGAGTATTGTGACAGAAACAGTTAGTAAATGAAAAATTAAGCTATCACTCCTTCAACTCTTTGATCATGGTTCATCCTGTACCATGGAATTATTACATTTATATCAGTGCCAAGTGCTATATTATTCTACAATTGAGTTTCTAGTTTATTTAGAGAAATTCCATGTCAAGTCATGGTTTCTGGATCTAACCTAGCAGAAGTGAAATATATGTTAAAACATGCTTGGTGTAGGTGGCAGACTGACAGCTAGTTCTGGTGCAGAAGTGATGTTTACAAGAGCAGAAATCAGATAGCATAGTTACTAAGACAGGAAGGTCTTTGGAGCTGACCTCTCTTTTTTTGTTATTTTAGGAATTCTCCTACTTTCAAATCATTTGAGGAGAGGGTTGAGACAACTGTCACAAGTCTTAAGGTACAGATGAAGTGAATTTTGTGCTGTTGGGACCATTGAATCAGGACAGCCTAGTCATTGCTGCGGTTAGTTCCAAAGATGAGGCCGCCAACATGGGGTGCTATGAAGAAGGCAGCCTTGCACAGAGTCAGTCCTCACAAAGAAATCTATAAATCAAACCAGGATTAAATAGTGTTTGTGTATCCTCGCAAAGTTGTTCATACAAACCACTAGAAATGAATTGTTCATTAAAGTGCCTTCATTGGTTTCATTTACCAGCAGTTTCTAGTTGTGCAGTTTCATGCCTCTCTTGTCAACATCATCACTTGCGTGACCAGAAGCCATTACGTTGCCCCCATTTGTAGGGAAAACTTTTCATAGGGAGGGTCATACAATATCTCAGACAGTTCTCTTGCTAGAATATCTAGTTTCAAAACAAAAGGCTCAAAAAATCTTAGGGGTCAATTTCCCAACATTTGATTCTCAGCCTAAGACATTCCAAAGAGGATGGAGTCTGTTGCTTTTTAGACAAGTTCTGACATAGGAGAAGTTGTGCTTTTTAGGTTTTCTTTAGAAGAAGGAGCTATGAAGAAGCAAAAGAAGACTAAAGAGCAACCTATTTTCATTTGCTTTTAGGAAAACTGGTAAGCTCACGGCTCACATGATTTTATGATTTAAGTGTTTGACCCACACTCTCAGCTTCTCACTTTCTCACCTCCCTGGGATGGAAGGTATAGAGCCTGACTGCTCCTCCAAGCACGCACACAACTAACTCAGCCAACGGGATACTGGCCTGTGTCAAGACCTCCTGAAAGTGGATAATTCTCCATGGGTTTAATAAGACTCACATCCCACCTGCTTCCTAAGTCACGGTCAATGCCTAGTTCCTCTTTTTCTGCCCACCCAGGCAATGGAAAATAGCAAATAATCATGCTTTGTGTAAAACCTCCCACTTCCTCAGTAATTACAAATTTCTCATTCTTCTTTTTCTCCAGATGAAATAATGAATGTCTAACCCCTCTTTATATAGCTTATTTTCTGCATAGTATACTTTGTGTCCTAAATCTTTTACAAAATTCCTATGGTTTTCTTCAATTGTGGACCCTGAGGCTGTTTCCTTCTGAGGGAATGACTCAAGAATCTGTAAGGATGAGGGAAATTCCTTGCAGGTCTTTATGCTGCATTTCCTTTCTCACATACTGCTTTAAGCTTGATTTTTTTAAACAAAATGACAAGATATGTATTGTTACTTTGCGTCCTTTCAACCACTTATTTTATTATGAGAGATCAAGAAGCCCAATTAATCAAATAAAATTTTTTGCAAAGAATAATTATAATTTGGGGGACAGAGTGGCAAATTCTTGGATGAAAAACCATTATGAAGGGAAGGGTCCAGGAGGGTTTATTGTTCACATCTTTGCTTAAGCAGGTCCACGCCTAACGTATGGCAGTGTCAGTCACTAACCCCACATGGTTGGGGAGCACCTTTGTCTCACTCCTCTTTGCCAAATTGCTCTATGTGAAAGCGGTTCCCTCTTTCTTTATTTTTCTCTTTTGATGTGAGAAAATCAGGAATTGACTAGAAGAGAAGAATGAAACAAAGCCCAGAAGAAAACATCAGTAATTTGTATTGATGTGATTCAATACTGTGTATAACTTCTATTGCAAAAAAGAATGCAAATAAAATAGAGAATGAGAACTATTAATAAATTACATTGGGTTAATCTTGTTCCTCTCAGGGAAGAAATAAGCATGGTGAAAAAAAATCACATAATTGAGAACCACCTCCTTCTTCCCAGTGCTAAAATAACACTGATTGCTCTGTGCCAGAGGTCTGTAAACTAAGGTGTGTGAATCCAGTCTAGCTGGTCATCTACTTTTGAATGGCCTGTAAGCTAAGAATGGTTTTTATACTTCTTTAATGGCTGGAAAAAAAAAAAAAAGAAAAATAGTATTTGTGACTTCTGAAAATTAAATTACAAGATATTCCCACTTCGGTGTTCGTATAGTCTTTTTGAAACACAGCTGTGCTCATTCACTCATGCATTGTTTTTCACTGCTTTTCAACAATGGCTAATTTGAGTATTTGTGATTCCCAGGCTTAAAAAATTTATCTGTCACCTCCCAGAAGAAATTTCTCGACCTCTGGCAGATGGAAAAATTCAACTTAGTAATTGAATTCAAAAATGTGCAGAGGGATTTTGGTGACAATTGGAGAAAAGTGTGTTTGTTTTGCAATGACTGAACTTAACTTTTAAACCCTGGTTACGATTTTAAAAGGGCAGGGCAGGCAGTAGGCAGATACATTCATTCCCCAGTGTGGTTTGTGTTCTTGTGATGGATCACTCTGGTGACAGTGGGGTGTAGACAGCAGTTTGAGAATAGCAATATAATCTGTTCTATACCTTTCTTTTCCTCACAGTGTTTTTTCATATTGTTAATGGTTAAAGAAAGGCCAATGTGACTATTATTAAGGCTTTCATTAAGTATTCTGGATGGTTAAATATTCTTTTGAATAACTTTTAATAAGGAATTTTTCAAAATACTTAATATTTTACTTTAAGAAAAGACTGTACACCATATTTCTCAATTATAAATTGATTTCTTCCTAAGCCCACAAGTACACAAAAAAAGGAGACTTGGAAAGCATGTAACTTTTCATTTTAAGAGATATGCCTCCTATAAAGGCAACTGCCTAAAAGGATGTGAAGTGACCAGTGATTACGACTAGATTCATCTTTAACTCTGAGGCCAAAAATCATGTTCAGTTGAACCACTCTGCCTTTCCAAGAGACATTTGTCAGAAATGCAGATTGCCTCGTTAAATCTCAAGTAGAAAACTTAAGTTGAAGTCACTTAAAAATGTCCATACATTTGTATAATTGAAGGAATATATCTAAATCCAGTTGTTTTTGTTCATTAAAACGTTCCTCTGGGAGAGTAGATGACAGCAATCCACAGATCTGATTATGCTCTTGAAAGAACTGAGAATCTTTAATGTAGAAGAGAGTTGATAAAATTGCACAAACTGAAAGTTTCTATTCCAATCCCAGAACCCAAGTTTGAATGACATCCTAGCGCACTGCTAAACGAAACTAACTTCTTTACATCCTTTACAAACCCTCTCAAGGAAAGAAAAAAAGTATTGCTGAACTTGAAAGTAATCGATGTTATAAAAACATTACAGAGAATTAACTGCATTTTTGCGTCTCTGCCCCTTTCAGACGAAAGTAGGCGGGACGAACCACAGCGGAGGCAGCTTTGAAGAGGTACTCAGCTCCACGGCCCACGCCAGCGCGCAGAGCTCCGCGAGCGGCCCCCGGCGGGCGGAGGAGGAACTGCAGTGCTAGGGCTGCCAGCCTGCCCCCGCCTGCAGAGGCCCGTAACCCCCGTGCACACTGGATATGAAGACCAAAATCCCACTGAGAAAACGCAGGCCTTGACCTTCAAATGGGCTCTCCACAAAGTTTAATAAAATGATTTCCATTTGTATTTGTGTCTATAATGGACCACTTGACCACACGCTTCGGTATTTACAGAATATTTGTATCTTTCAAAATGTCCTGATTTGAGCAGGTACACACTTGGTCATGACCCTTCTCTGTGTAATTCAAGCATATTTTCCAGACATGAGCTATTTGTTATTTGCTTTGATTTTTTGCTTGGATGCTGTTACCACGTGCATGTCTTGGAAGGCTGAGTGAGCACCCCTTCAGTTCAGTCAGTCCTCTGGAGTTGGTCTGTCTCCAGCAATGGGATGGCCCTTGGAAATTTCATCAAACTGCTTGTGGTCCCCCTCACCTACATCAATTACATATGTTATTTAAGCAATTAAAATAATTGATTCTAATGATGACTTTAAGTTCTTAATTTCTTTTAAGTTTTCAGGGGTATTTTTGACCTTAAAAGGTAGTAGCTATAATTCTGCAGACACTATTTTAAGTCCAACTTCTATTGCTAATTTGGTGAACATGAGAGCATATGTAAATAATTATAATCTCAGCTACTTCAGGATGCTAAAACTATCTTCAAGTCTAAAATCTCTCTAATCTACATAGAGTAGTAGTTAACTCAGGTAAACTGCTTAAATATGTAAGGAGTATTTGCAAAAGGATTATAGTAGCTAGAAAATGGGAGAAGGCCAAGTCTGGAATTCCTTCCAGTTTGCAAAATTGCTCACATGAATGAAAAAAGCATCGTGTTAATATGATCAGATTCTGAGTAACTTTTACCTTCCATACTATATGCTTTTCTTCTAAATGGGTAACAAAGATACATTCTATAGATACATTTTTAAAATGCACAGAGACTAGACCTATCAAAAAAAATCACAATTTAGATATATATTTATAACATATAACCCATGTAACATATATAGCCTATATATAGTATGCTCACTATTCATTTTTTAAATTTATTATTAAGTAGAAGTGGACATAGTAAATAAAATAAAGCCAATCTGAAAAGTTCTATTCTAATTAATGGAGCAGGACAATCTGTATACCCAATTATCAGGCTGGTTCAGGGCCACATAATCTGAGGCCTGGACTCTTAACAGATACAGGTATGGGTCTGTAAACTTGAACCAGAGTAGATAAATGTGAACAAAGAAGCCCTGCCAGTAGGAGCATTGGCATTCTCCCTGAATTATCCTTTTAGTCTGTTGGTTGAAGCCAAACCCCATGCAGCTGGCTTTTTTCCATGTTCCTCATCCACTGCTGCATGTGAGTACTCCTCTCTCTGTTACCCAATCTCCAGTTGCCTAGTGCATTTGAAAAGGTCTTCTTTTGTAAACTCACCACTACCTTTTTTTTTTTTTTTTTACCACACTCAGCACACTGCACTGCTTTGTATTATAGAAAAAGCAGTTATGTTGCTATAAACAAGTATCTTCATTCACCAACCGATTTCCATACATAGGGTCTCAGACTTACAATCTGAATACACAGTATCAAAATTGGATAAGAAAACAAGCAAGTATTGATGCCATAGAACTGCAAATTATTTAAACCATTCTTCAGTTTTGTAAAATTTATATTCACGTCACCTGTTAATTATTCACACTCTTGTCAATAGAAATTAGGCTCTTACACAGGGTCGCAAGAAAGCATCCCAAGAACCCATGCATGGGAGATTGTGGTGTGGCAAAATTCGAGTAGAAATAGAAGCTGCCCCCGCTAGGTTTCCAATGTCCCATCTCCTTCCATCCCAGCACGGAAAAAGTCCAACTGTGCCTTCAGCAAGGGCAAGACAAAAGCCAAGGTCTAGAGTTTCTGTTTCATTATTAAAGGTCAGTCCTTTGGAGCCCACGCATCCTGTTGTGGGCCCCTGTACCAGACCAGCATGGCTGTGCGCTTCCCGGCAAGAGAAATCATGTGAATGCATGGGGTAAGTGTGTCACAGAGAGAGAAAACAGTTTCCCTGGGATTATATTAGCTTTGGTTTGGGGTGGACCAGGTGCTTCTTCAAAATAACCAATGAACTTCCCAAGCTTTTGTGGGCTTTTTGATGGGTCCACCTCCCAATCAATCTCTTTTTCCCCAGGCTAGACTGACAGGCCTCTTCGGACAAGCTTCTTCCTCTAAGCCCCCCAACAATCCAGTACCAGAGCGGGCAAAGGGGTAGGTGTTAATCCCCTTGGCAGGGCAATACTATGATCCCTCGAATGTGAAGCTGTAGTTTCCTGGTAAAGGAAATAGGCTTATGCTCCCCAGTTTATTCAGCTCAATGTCTAATTCCCTTTGCTCTATTTCCTTTATTAACATCTAGCAAACTACCTGCAGTAATAACCCTGATCTGGGAATGATATAATGGATATGGCATGAGTAGTCTTTTTTTTCATTTTGTGTGTGAACGAGCCACATCACTGATTAGAAAAATCAAATCAGTTGCTGGTAGTTAAGTAGTCCTAGGCTAGAGGTTTCATTTCCCCACTGCTGATAACTCAAGAGCTCCCTCGCTTTGCATGTGCAAGTTCACATGCAGCAGATTAAAGTGTTCCTCAAGTGCTAAGGCATTTGCACACAAAAGACACAGCCTTTTACTAACAAATCAAAATGACTTCTCGTCAGGACCATGTATATGAAATGATACAAGTAATGTATACTAGTCTTACCCACCATTTCTCTTTCTGCAGTTTGAGTTGCTTGCAGTCGACCTCAGTCCAAAAATACTTCATGCAAAATGCCAGAAATAAACCATTCCTAAGTTTTAAATTGTACATCATTCTAAGTAGCTGACGAAATCTCGAGCCATTCCTCTTCATCCTGCCAGAGACGTGAATCATCCATTTGTCTAGCACCCCCACACAGTATATGCTCGCCGCCCATTAGTCACTTAGTAGTTGCCGCATCAGATGGACTGCCTTGGTATCACAGCGCTTGCGTGTAAGAAACCCTTGTTTTACCAAAGGACCCCAAAGATCAAGAATAATGATGTTGACAATTTGGATATGCCACAGAGAAGCCATAAAGTGGATGTATGCAAAGGAAAGAACTATATATAGGGGTGCTGTCCAGTTTCTGACACCCAGTGGGGGTCTGGGAACATGAGGGAGGACTACAGTATCTCGATAATCAAAACTTCTAATGACAATTGTGATTACAAAATAAACTTTTTTTGTTTTTTTAAAAAGCGGGCCATCTGTAAATTAAGCATTTGCCACTTTTTTAAATACAATTGCTCTGATGGAAAATATTCATAAATTTATGCTGCAACTTTACCTTAAACTCCTATCTCATAAAGACTATCACTGTTGGTAGGTCATGTCAGCAAAGAAATTTGTATTTTATCCTAAATCCCACAATTTCCTATAGGTCAGCTCTTAAACCACAGAAAACAGAACTATGTGCTTTATTATGGAATGAACTGATTGGCCAGCCATTCAGTGGTGAACATGAGGTAGCAGAATCTAAGCTGCTCTTCTGCCACTGTCTATTGTTCTAGAATTACCTGTCAGCTTGAAATTTGTTGAACTTTACTATAAAATGATGCATAAGGTTGCAAACTTCAATCGCAACACTCTCACTTATCATACTGGAGCGTAGGTGGATGGAATAAAGGGAGATGGTGACAAGGTTAAAAACTGATTTAAATATAAAACGTGAAGCAACTTCAAACCTGGTGTACAAATATAATTTCAAACTGTACTATCTGGCAAAATCTTATGGTTACTTTTGATAATCTCTAAGAATGGCGTAATCCTTTATTCTACATTTTTACATGACTTACTATGGAGTACATATGAAGGCAAACCAAAACTTACCATAAACCTCCCACAGAAATCATCCCCAATCTCACTTTGAGTATGAAGACTAGCAAGTTAAATAAAAATGCTGGGCACAGAGGGTGCTTTCTCACAGCGCACTTCATCAATCATTTATCCCAGAGCATATATTACAAGACTTTCGGATAAACAAGTTGGCGGTTCTGTCAGAACCATTTCTTTTCAAATACAAGGGCATTGAGAATTATGTAACATAAATGAAATGCTAGCCCACAAGGGGAAAAAAAAGGAATTGATTTTGGGAAAGAACTGTCCACCCCAAGCCAGGCCCAGGGACCAGGCAGTGAGAGCTGGCCTGAGCTGTGCCCGCTGCGGCCCTGCCCTCCTTTTGAGCGGGGCAGTCTCTCTTCCTCATTACAAGGAGGTAACGAGGAGTATTTCTGAGTTCATGTTGGAGGAGGTCATAGAGGATGTAATTCCTGGCTGACTTGCAAACCGGACCTGGGCAATCAGAGGCTCCTCGCCTCGCCCACACCCGTCCTTGGAATATATGTTCTGCCCACAGTTCCCATACTAGGAGCTCTTTCAAGGACACAGCCTTGAGAGAGTAATGCCTCATTGAGACCATCTGGATGATGATTGAACCCAAAGAGAAGGCCTCTATATAAACTTAAGGTTCTGGCATGCAGGTGCAGAGATTTACTCATCTTGTGACCACCCCAGACAAGCCCCATATGCAAGTTCCCCTGTGTATTACACCTGTCACCTGTCAGTCTGGTCTGCGTCCTTCTTCGGTCTCGCCTTGCTTTCCATGTATGGCAGCGTTTGTGAAACAAATTCTGCATCATTATGATAGGGCTTGATATTCAGAAAACCAATTCCAGGCAAATAGCATGTATCTTCCAAGAAAAATACATTTTTTAAGTGGTAATGCTGAAATATTTGTAGACAGTTGATGAATTCAACAGCTATTATTTTATTGATATTCACTTTGTTCTTGTATTTTAGGTACAGCACCATTACATTTTCATTGTTTTTAAAAACATTACCTCAGTAAGGAAGGCTTGGGCCTGTGGGAACCACCACAGGTAAATGGAAACCTAGATAATGATTAAATGACCAGTGTTAAGTCTGATCCAGTAAAGGGTTCCAAAGTACCTCCATAAATTTATGAAAAATACAGCAGGCAAAATATTGCAAATAAAACTCCAGGGCCACGGCCAATCTTTCAGTTGCAAATATCTGAACCTTATCTTGGCTTATTTTGTGCGCATGTTTTCATGCCAGGAGAAAAATACTCCAAAATACTGATAGATGTAGTTCTGTTTTCCCACCAACTATATCTCTAATAACCACCACATTTTCCAACCGTTTGTCACCTTTTAAATACTACTGCTATGATGCAGCAGTATTGGGATGCAAAGCAGCATTGCTCTTTTCAACAGAGAGAAGCTGGCTATATGTACACGTGTGCACTGCTTCTGGAGATCATGCACTCTGCTTCCTGCAGACTGGGTATCCATGGAGACTGCAAAGAGTTTCCAAAGAAACGTTGCCTAGAATTCTCACCATGCCAGCCTAAAAGGCTTTCTTCAAATGGAAACTGACATTTACATTAAAGGGACAGGCATCATCTTCTACGCGAAAATCTATCAGTGCAAAATACCAAGCAAGGTCTGTACCAGTAGCCTCCCCTTCCTCACCACTCAATGGTTGAGCATCATTTAAAGGCCAGTGGGCAGATTACTTATCCCATGAAGGGCAGATGAGGGGAAGAAACCAGGTCTGATGTGCTCCCTACATAAGATCTAATGACCCCAGCAATTCCCTTGTTATTAGATATTTCTCATCTGGTGATAAACATTCCTATAATCAAGGTTTGAACATTTGTAAATCCGCAGAAGAAAACACAGATGAAAACAAGTAGCAGTTGAAATTGCATGCCCCAATTTATATCTCCAAACAACAAACAGAATTGGAGGAAGGCACAGAACCTGTTAGCAGGTTTACAAGTCCATGATCAAAGGCCTAAAGCAGGTCACAGTGAAATTAAAAATCTGGCTTCAGAGAGTGATCATATGAATAAAGCAGCATTTCATCTGAGGAGATACTACATTCATTGTCCTGGATCCTTACCAGTAAGTCAGCTGAAAAATCTGCTCTTAAAAGCAATCATAATTAAACTTTGTATTATTCAGTGAATCTTGCCCTTGGGGATGCAGGATATAAATTCAGTAGTGTTTAAATCTCCAATAAATATTCCAAACTTTAAGGTTTTTAAAATTTATGTATTTAATTCATAAAAAGACACCCACCCCCAAGTCTCAACCCTGTGTTTTCATGACCACATCCTGTTCTGTGGCTTCTTTTATGGCCCAATTGTATCACGTTTCTTGCTGGAGTCCAGGCAATTGAAAATAAACAGGCTCACGTCTGGGGAAATCAACAGACCAACAGGCCAGCAGAACAGCATTCAGTGGAGAAATAAGATGTGTGTTACGGGAGTGCAGCAACAAAGAGGGCATCTCAGGAGCCTGGCTCACTGGCTGCGGCGGCTATGCTGGCATTTCTTTCTGCCTCAAGCTCAGAAACAAGCTGGACTATCTCAGGGTGACTGAATTTTCCTGCAAGGCAAGAAGACAGAAAAAGATAAGGACAAGAGAGAATACATCAATATTTCCAGCTTGATCTCAGGCCTTGTCCGGGGCTCCATTTTGTGACCTGACCCATACTTTATTGCAACGCAGAACACAATTCCTAGTCCTTCCTTCTGACTTGGAGAGAGGCCAAAGGGGACCATATGGAGCTTATTCTCTGTTACCCCTGAAGCCAGCATGCATAAGGATAAGAATCTGGCACAGACCTGTAAACTAGACAGAGCTGGGAGAAACTTTACCAGGCAGCCTCTCAAAGAAGGAACTACAGGGAAACAGGAAGAAACTCAGCGCAGTGACTTTTAATCTCAACTCAATTATGGGCAGTCACCCTCTTTCCAGGCTCAAGTTTCTTCCTCAATAAAAACATAGAGTTTAAACTAGACAATCCTTCCAGTACCTATATTTTTTATTTTACTGGTATTTTCATGTTTCACTTTTTGTTTTTCATTGACAATGTGTCAAAATATAAGATACGGTAATCGTGTTAAAATGCAAACCACCACATAAACATGACTGGTATTTTAGTGACATTATTGGTGAAATATACTATCTTAGAAACCAATTATTGCTTAAAACACAGTTAGCAAACCTTTTCTGTAAAAAGTCAAACAGTAAATATTTTAGGCTTTGTGAACTTAAGTAGCTCTATTGCAAATCACTCAACTCTGCTGTTGTAGAACAAAAGCATTAGTGACAATACGTAAAGAATGAGTGTGGCTATTCAGTAAACTTTACACAAGCATGCGGGCCAATCTGGCTGACCCCAGGTTTGCAACTTTATTCTGTTTAACGGAAATCAAACTTTTTTGAACACCACCTACATGAAAAACAGATGAGACGAGGCCGGTCTTGGCCGTCAAACAGCTTATCATAGGATGGGGTGAACAAAGTGGGGGTTTGGGGAGAGACCCACGGAGGAACATTGTTAACGAGAATGCAAGTCAGGCTGTGAAACAGTATGCGAAACTCTAGACCAATGTAGACTGAGCAAAAAGAAGGGAACACAATTTTGACAGGGAGGATTAGGAAAGGAACCAGAGAGGCGAGTAGCCTTTGATTGCAGAGCTTACAGGCCACTCAGAAGTGTCAGGATTTTATTTTTTAGTAAGAGGAAAGCCACAAGAATTTTAAAAAGAAACATGTGATGATACCTATCCCTACAAAGGAGGAAAACATCGTGACACGCGGGATGAACTGGAAAGCCCAGCAGGCTGAGGTAGGAGGGTATAACACCAGCCCAATACAGAAATAATCAGAGCCACGCCTAGCGCAGAGGTAGTGGGGCTGGAAAAGAAAGGAGGAAAATCAAATGAACTTCGTTACTATGCAAATCAAGTCTTGGACCTTGGTCTGTGATCTGGGACCTTCCTATGTTTGGTGGGGCCACCTGAGGGCCCTGAGAGGTCCTGGCAAGGCTATCCCTAACTCCTCTCAGAGGAGATGGAGGCTGGGCTGGGCCTGAACCGCCCTCAGGGAGGAGAGGTGTTTTACTCCAGGGAGAGACAGGACCGCCAGCCATCACTAATACAGGGTACTTAGCTCCTCGCTCTGGAAACTATCAAAATGAAGGTGGCTAAGGCTTATTACCAGGTATTATTCTAAGTCTTTCATATGAATTAACCCACTATATCCTCAAACAACCATGCAAAGTAGATTCTGCAATTATCTGCATTTTCAAAACAGGGAAACTGAGGCCCAGAGCTAGGTTAAGTAATTTACTGGAGGTTACTGAGATTTTGTGACAGAACCAGGATTCACACCAGACAGTCTGACTACAGGTCTGTGCTCTATAATGACATTGGTATGGTGACTTCAGCCATGTGGCATTTTCTTGTTTTAAATATCTCTTTCTACCTCCACCTCCACTTCTGACCTTACACGTATGGAGTACCTACAGATCATAGTGCACTTCAAGTAATCTCTCTCTCGAATCTCAAAGCCAACCTATGACTTAAGTAAATACTGACTTTTGTTTTTCAGAGGGGGGGGCGGCGCCCGGGGGCACACTCCTAGCAGGTGTGACTGCGAGCCTGGCGCTCAGACTCCAGGGCCGCCCCACTCCCCTGCACCCACGCCCTTCCCCGGGAAATCCCACCTTTTTCTTTTTAGATGCTCCAATATGGAAAGGGTGGAAGAGGGTAACCACAGTGGATTCACTAATGTGTTATTTACTACACTAGGCATAAGCCGCACTATAATGACGCTTATTGCAAACAGCACTGAGTACCTGCTGTGGAGTCATAGAAGTCCTGCAGTCTCCCCGGTTTGTTCTCAAGGTCTTCATATTCAGATGCCTGAAGGATCATCTCACATTGGTCCAGCTGCTTCACAAATTTGGCTTCTGCACTAGATTGGGTCTCATATTCCTAAGGAAAGGGACAATTAAAGCACCATGACTGGGCTTGCATGATGGGGAAATCCAGGAAAATTCTGATTCTGGCACCTGGAATCAGAGTCACAGCTAAAAGGCACATTCTGAATTTCCCACATTTCTCCACTGTACTCAAAGCCTTCCCAGAGACGCTTTACCCGGACTGTCACAGCTAACATCGTCACTCCACGCGGGCAGAATGCGCGCGCAATGCCACGTGTTCCACCACAGGCCTCCACGCCTCATTTGTTCTCATTGACATTTCCAAGCAATTTCTTCCCGTTAAGTATCTTGTCTTCATTTCAAGATCATTACTCTTTAATCCACCTGCGTGGTTTAGGTCTTTTTTAACTTCAAGCTAATATTTCATCTCATGCTTCTCAAAGTATTTCCCTCTCCATTGAATGTTAGGTTTCCTTTTCCTTTCCAAGTGAATTTCTGGCTTTCTCATTTCATTTTGGTGACCACCTTATACTTGGAATCTAAGGATGACCGAAGTCTCTGGGTTATGACTCGGGAGGGTCCAGTCAGGATCTGTGGCTTCCTGATTCCCTGGTGTGTGCACGTGTTGGTGGCAGGGAGGTGGCAATGTAACAGACAGGGAGTTTACCTGTCCTCTTCCCGCGGGCCCCTCCCCCCTCAGTGAAAACCTGAAACGAGAAGCTGCAGGAGGTCTGTTTCTTAGAGCGTGACGCACGTCACACACCACAGGTTCCCCTTACTCCCATACAGAATCATTCTCCCATGAAAACCCAAGTGTTCCCACCTGGTTTCCCTGCAAAGTCTTCCTTTGTAATTCCACCCCAAATGTGTTCGGGTAATGAACCTGTCACGCTTTCCTGGCAGGATAATGTGATGTGAATCACTGAAGGTTTCTTGGTTTTTATTAAATGCCTTGTTCTTATAAAGACAGCTATTTGAATTTTGACAGAGCTTAAAATTGCACAGGCAAGTCATTTTAATATAAAACCAAATACATTTTGCTATATTTCAAAGCCACTTAGAAATAATTACTTTTAATTTAAATGTTTAATTGGTAATATTTATACTTATATATTTATAGTTAATAAATTTAAGTTTATTACTTAACAAAAATAAATGGCATACTCTAAGCATAGCAGTCCAGAATTTTTCTCCGTTGAAAGTGAGAAAAAATATGGTAAGACCATTAGGGAATAACACATTTTATAACAAACTCTTGTGAAATTACACTTTCCTTTTAAAAATATAAATCACCGGGTCTTCTCTCAAAAAGTAATGGTACTGGCATTCTCTGACTTCACTTTCCAACTGGGAGGCCGGGCTGGGAGGAGGGCTCTGCAGATAATGCCCTAGAGTTAATTAGGAGCTGTGGCATCTTTGGGGAACTTACTGCAAATAGCGCCCAAGGGCAGGATGGAGAGCTGAAGGGGAAGGTGAGAAGGAAGAGTCTGAAGGTGGAGGAAGAGCCAGCTCCTGAAAGGCCTTGCTGCTTATGCTGTGGAGTCTCAGTTTATCCTGCAGCTACTGGATGTCACTGAAGGGTTTCCAGCAAGGACTGTCATGATCAGATTGGTGTTTTAGAGACAGCATTGTAGTTTCAGTGTGGAAAGGGCTAGGCTGAAAACAGAAATATCACGCCTTGAGACTTTGTAGCACTAGCAAAGAAGTTATGAGAATGTGGCAATGAAGATGGGGAAAAGTGGGCAGATTTGAGAAATGTTAAGGACGAAGAAGCAAACCAAAATGTGAATGTAAGGGAAAGGGATAGTCATAAATGCCTTGCTAGATTCTAGCTTGGGAAACTATTAAATAGAGAGCAAAACAGAAGATACAGAAAGGAAAAAAAAAACAAAACCTTACAGAGCAAAGGAATAGCAAAACCAAAAACCTCATGGATAACATTAATAACAAAGCTGAAGGTCATAACATTACCAGGAAATCACAAAATACACATGAGTGGGGACAGACGACCTCCAGCCATAAGCCCTGCATGTGGTCAGTGTCTGTCCGGGAAGAATTAGAGGAGATTATGGGCAATAGGGCATCTTTTGGACCCAAGAATAGGAGAATCTCTAAAGAGATGATAGGTGTTCACAGTAGTATCAAAATGTAAGAACAGAGACCAACACCGAAGGAATCTTGCCCACTCCAACCACAGCCTTTATAAGCCCAGTATTCGCCAACCTGCCCTGCGGGGGCTCCTTCCAGGTCAGGGCCCCACAGGAGGAGAAACAGCTGGGAGTCAAGGCAAAACTGAATGGGGTAAGCATAACAAATGAGGACAAGAAAAAGCCCAGATAAGAGTTGGGAAGGGGAACAAAGGCAGGAAATCTCTGAAAGTAAACCACCACATTTTTACACTACACTGAAAAAACACAACAACCCCAAAAAAGGAAAAAAACAACACAACAGAAGAGGAAACCCTGTGAAGTTAAAAAAGCTATTTGAACTAAGTTTCTCTACAAAAGTCCAGGAAAACTGTCATGATTGTATATCAAAATGAACAATTAACAAGAAAAAGCAGATGTTATGGCAAGTTTGCATGGTCAGATTCCATACAAACTTATCATAAGATAAAGAGAATGAAAAGTAAAATAACATCTATATAGACAATTCACATCAGAAAGACATCCTCATTTTTAAAAACGGTCTAATATACAACAAACTATTTCAAAAAGAACTAAAGATATTAAGAAAATGATAATACATGAAAGAGCAACATAAAAGTAATTAGAGATAAAAGAAAAAGTCATCTTAGAAATAAAGACTAAGCAATAAGGAACACAAGGATAATCAAACATGGTAAATAATGCCTTAAGAGAAGCAGAAGTCAAAAAGGAGGTTAAATTTAAAAGTCAAAGAAATGAAAATGATATAGAGAATAGCAAGAAGGTAATAACTATTGAAGACAGGCAAAGAAGAATACAACATACAGATATACAGGAGTCCTGGGGAAAAAAGAAAACAAAAGCAAAAGGAAAAATTATATTGAAAAGAAATTTAAAAATAAAAAAAATCTGAAAGCATATATTGAAAATGCACACTACCTCAGGATATTAACCCAGAATAACCAACACCACCAAGACATATTCTAATAAAATTGCCATAGATTAAAAAAGTCCTTTGAACACTTGTGCAACAAGTGCATCTGACATATAAGGAAAACATAATTATATCAGTTTGACAGCAATGTCTTTTTATGACAGAAGAAAATGGAAGTAATATATTTGAGATATTCAAGGGAAAAATTTGAGAGCCAAAGATTTCATTTCAAGTGTAACTGACCTTCAAACATAAAGAACACAGAGGAACTATAAGAAACATGTAACGCTGAGAGAATATTGTTCCTATGAGTCCTTGAAGAACCTGCCAGAGAACAGGTTTCAGACAACCAAAATGACTGGGGAAGAGACTGACATAAGGACTGGCGGCGAGCATCAACTACAGTTACTTACAGAAATAAGGTTAAAGGAGTTTAAAAAGAGAGGGGTTATAGTATGTAATGGTAAAGTGTTTTGACAATGTAGATTTATTGCACAACTATAAAAACTAGCGGGAGAATGGAGGTAGCCAAGGCAAACAATTTTTAAAACTGTTCTCAACAATCAGAATTGGTGGTGGTGGTGCGCATGACTGTTATTCAGAGATGGGTGCATGTGTAATGAAGGATAAATGCTACACAACCAAGATTCCTGGTGTAGAAGGACATGCAACATAACATGCAAGAGACTAAGTACAAACTGAATTTGAAATATCACTATGAATTCACAAGGTATTTTATATATACATATATATCCCAGTTCTGTCCATTAAAAAGCACAGAAATAAAAACCAACTCAGTAGCAATGAGCATTCTTAGTGCCCATACTGTGGTCTTGAAATAACAGTTCCTGTTTAAAAATAAATTACAAAGAAAACAGGTGGTCTGGCCAGGGCTTGTTCAATATGAAGGAGGCTGAATCACCCTGCCGTTCCTGCTATCAGGGAAGCCATCAATGTGTTTTTACTACACCTTTCTTGTATGCCCTTAACCAGAGAGTAGATGAGGGAGAAGCACCATTAGCAGAGTTATTGTAGCTACTAAATGAAAAGGAAGTAGGAACCGAGTACCAGCCTGCAACCACAAAGGACTGAGAGATAAGCACCAAGAAAACTCAGACATGTGTGTCACACGATGAAAGAATCCCACAGCACCTACAGCTTTGCCAAAAGGATCCACCCTGAGCCCGATCCAGCCTCTGGATTGCAGTTGCCAATCTGCAGACAAAGAGGAACACTATTTGCATCGTGACTGTGCAATTGGCAAAACCCAGACTACGAGAAGGTCTACTCCAGGCCAAATGGACTGGATTCTTCAACGATACAGGAAAGGGGGGCAGGGGGAACTGTATATTCACGGATGTTTAAAAGATGTTAATCTTTAAAAAAAATGGGGGGGGCAATATTAAACTAAAATATCTAATGATGAACATTTTGGTGATAAAACCATAAAGAAATTCAAGTGATCACTATGAAAATTATGGGCTGTGCTTAGTCAGGGTATAAAAAAGGACATCTGGGGAAAATGACAAAGTTCCAAATCTTGATGTGGATGGTAGCTAGAAGTAAGTCATTCTTCTAATAACTCACTGTGCTATACGTTGGTTTTCGTGTAGTTTTCTGTATTTTTCAATAAAGAGTTTTTAAATAATAAAAATGGCCACAGATAGCGAGGAGGGCCATGTTGAGTTGAGGTTCCTACGGATCTTTAGGTGGAGCTGTCCATTTGGCCGTTGGACTCATGGGTCTGAACAGGCAGGGGTTTGTTTTGTTTTCTCTTCACAAATGAGAAGCAGCACCATGACGGGCAAGGGCGGCACGCTGGCTCTCTGTGCCCTGGCCCTCCAGCCAGGCTGCCTCTGCAGTCCTCCCCGTCAGCAGCACTGGGAGGGAGCGAGCGCTGACAAAGCCCCTGTCCTGTGCTGGGCGTCATGGCAGCACTTCATCTGACCTCAGTCAGCCCTGACAACCCTTCCAAGTTTCGTAGGTAGGCAACATACAGGGAGGGGAATGTGCCCAAGGTCACTGAGCCAGGAAGCCGTGCGGTGCGGGTCGAACCCAGTACTGAACCACCAGAGCCCACGTTGTTTCCAAGGACCAGAAATGGGTGGTGGGTATGGGCTTGGTGGGGGTGGCAGGGTTGGGGGCGACAGCGATGCATCAGGAAATCCAGGGGCCGTGAATCAGGATGTGTACCAGGCATTATGGTGACAAGGAAAATGGGGAAATTGGAGGAATACAAACTATTAGCCACGAAAAATTCCTGCAGCAGCTGAGAGGTGAAAAACAGACACAGACTAGAAAGTAGTAAGTTAGAGACAGCTTGTTAAGATAATCTAAGTTAACTAACACATGGTTGAGGCACAGAAAGTCATCACAATAAATAAAAAGCAACCTGTCCTATATACTTACTTCCCAAAGTTCATAGAGCTCCTTTCCAAGATCCTTTGAGAGAAGTTGGGTTAACTGCCTCATAGCTGCCTGAAATATAAAACCATTATTTTAATCATGTTCGCATGTAAACTCATCTACAAAAGCCAAGTACTGGGCTCAAACTGGACAATATTTATGGCTTACAATGAGGGCAGTTATGTACATTAAATAAGAACATGTATTTATTCACATGGGCATCACTAAGCACTTGTTTTGTGGCCTGCAGCACACCACACATAGAAAAGGACCACGAGGAGGGTGTGAGGCAATTATAGAAATATCAGAAGTGAGGCCAAAGATTTTACATCTTGTGAATGAATCACAAGATGCCCACATAAATTTCAATCATACGCATACTAGAGTTCAACACAAACCTGCGGGTGGAAAGAACAGGAAAATAGCAATGAATTACAACGCTTGCCGAAATGTTTTGCACGCTATTACGTCCATTTTCTATTGCTAATCTTTTTATTGCAAAATGTAAAGCACCATACAAATGGGCAGTTGTCAGTAACATAAAGGAAGTTACATGACAGCATCTCGTAGCCTAACAGACTCACAGGCTGAAAAGGGATATTGAAGGGTAATCGGCCAAACCATCCATGGCAAGTACCTGAACCCTTCAACAGTGTCAATGAATACTTGTCCTCCCTCCATAAACATGGCTGGTGATGGGGACCTAGTACCTCAAGAGACTGCCCAAAGGGGCTTTAGGCAGCACTGACCGAAAGTACTTCCCTATATCCAGCTGAAACTGTCCCTCTAGTCCTTCCACTGTGCTTAACCTCTCCTCCTGCCCTCTTCACTCTCCCAAATACAATGTCCAACAGGCATGCGGTGACCCAGCTGGGCCAGAATTTCAGCGGCCACAGTGACCGGTCCAAGGAATGGCCAGGTAAGTCAAGCCAGTCAGTTGGGGGCCATCTGCATTTGTCCAGCAGGAGCCACAAACCTGAGAGTCAAAACCCAAAGAAAAGTGAAGGTAAGAGAATGAGAGAGCAGAGTGTGTTCATTGCTTATTTTTAGTCCCTGAAGTCCCAGGAGCCTCATTCCCTCACTCCCTTCATTTCTGTGTTGCTCCTGTGTCCTTCTAAAATATCACATTTTGGGGGCATTGGGTCTGCAAGGATGGCTTCAAATTTCTTGACCATCCTCATCCTACACCTCAATCTGTTTCAGCTCTAACCAGAAGTTAGGCTCCTTGAAAAGAATATTGTTGTAAGAATCGCTTTTGGCAAATGGTTACCAGTACAAAAGTGGCAACGGTCTTATATATAATCAGAAAGTGAATTGGGGCAAAGCAATGAAAATAAATACGGGTATCTGTGTGTGTATTTATTTCCTACTGGGAGGAAAAAATATTAAAGAATATAACCTCTTCTAGAGCAAAGTATATTTGCCAGTATCAACAATCTGTTCTTGTACATAGTAACATAACTATCTTGAATGGCTTGTAGCATCATACCACCCTCAGGGGTATAAAATTTAGATTATTTTCTACCTGCATTCTCCCTTGCTTCGTTTTCATAAATCTTGGCAAAACACTTGAAAAAATACTTTGCATTTTCAAAAATTAAAGGTCTCTTTATAAATGATTCATCTTTCCACTATTCCAGACACGTTTGCCTATTGCTTTTGTTTGAAAAGAATAAACTGAGTAACATATATGTATAGGTATATAAAATTCTAAGCTTTTAGAATACAAACATAAAAGCTCTGGTTTGACAAGAGATTATTTTATTCCACTGAAGGTCACGCACCCACCACTGAATGCAGTTACTGATGGGTGATATGACCAGGGTGGAACAGAAAGAATTACAGCCTCCTCAAGCTCGACACTCTATTTCTATAAATGCAGCCTAGGATTGAATTGGCCTTTTGAAGATCACATCCAATTACTGACTTGTTAATTAGCTTCCTGTTGACTACAATCACCATGTCCTTTAAAAAACATAAAAGATAAATAAGTACATTGTTGCTCTCTGAAGTTGAGTAACAATTTTCTGGATCTAAACTCATGGATATCATTTGTTATTATACAATCAGAATCACATTTTGAGGCTTCTTAGGTAGCTGATATTCCTTGTTTAGCAGCATGTGCCACAGAATGATTCTCACCTTTTTAAATGAACCCCTGGAAACTGACTCTACAGAAGTCCGGGGTACATGGCTGAGGGTGCCAGACTTTCCCTTCCTGACCATGAGCCCTGCCACACCCACTTCCATACTTTTTTTGCCTTGTTCACACATAGATTTAGAGAAAATTTCACTTGCTTCTTCGTGTTAGCAAAGCATGTCAAGAATCTGCCTAAAGTTCTGAGCTGAATGAAGCTTTCAGCAAACATCTTGTTAGTTTTGTGACAAGCATCCAGAAAGCATTATTTATTGTTCACGCATCATTGATGAGGCTGAACAGTGCTGCAATTAACTACAGACTATCAATTCACGTCGGGTTTGAAACCGGCTGACCATTTACAAGCGGTGGAAACCTGAGCAAGTTGCTCAACCTCTTTGTCTTTCCAGTCTCTCAACTGTGAAATGAGGTTAATAACGGTACCGGCCTGAAAGGATTGCTGTGTGGGTTAAAGAGTTTATATATAAAATGTTTATTATGGCACATACTAAGCACTCTATAAAATGTTCACTACGATTCTAATTTTCTCCATTTTGCCATGTTGACTCCCATAATAAAGTTTGGTTCTTCTCCTTTGAACCCTTCTCAGTTCATTAGCAACTTCAGCCTTCGCAGATACATATATAACCATGACTCTTCTTCTGTCTTAAGTTTCTCCCTTTACAAAGGAATATAACCTGCCATTCTGTAATCCAGTCTCAAGTTCCATCCCACTAGTTCTTGATGATCCCTACCAGGAGCCCTCTACCAACTGGGGTTATAATATAAAGCATGCAGGGTCTGCTTTATATTATATAGTAAGGCTTCCTTGAGTGTGGTTGGTAGGGTACATGACTATCTCTCATGAGATGGACAGCAATTTGAACACTGCACCTAAAATGTCATATGATGTGCTTGAGTATGATATTTTGTTATAGAATCACATGCTTATGATTTTGTAATAAAAAAAGAGATGTTATTTGTGCTGGACCCCGTATTTCTATCCTGCTTAGGAAGGGATCAGACTACAAATATTGCTTTTGGCCCCCAAATGTTCTCTTCTATGCCCTCACCCTCATTTCATCCAAGTATCTGCTCTCCTCCAAAACAACCAACCTCCCAGGCTTATCAAGAATTTCCTCCACCCTCCTTTGGTTTAAAGCCTTCTGGATGGAATTGGATATCCTGTGGGCAAAAGACGCTCCCTGCTTCTTATTATGTGCATTCTACCTCGGGCCAAGAAGCCCTCATTTAATTATCTGAATGCTTGATTCAGACATCCACGACTCATTCATAAACACCATCTGCATAAGGGATAGTCCATCTCCCAGATCTCTCTGTTCTCAAATCTTAGCCAGCAGCAGGAAGAGGCAATGGAATATCAGTGCTCTCCAAGCCTTTGCTTTCTTGTCCAAGGACCTGCAGTTCTCTAAGATGTTTCCCTTGTCCCTTCTGATTATGGTATTTATTCTCCTGTGAATCAGAAGGAGTGGGCAGCAGGCAGGAGGTTCAGTGAGGCCGCAAAGATTTTTCATCCTTGCCAGGATAGAGTCCAGCAAGAGAGCAACACTCTGCTGGTCCAGGTGCACTCTATGCCCCTCCATGGTGGCCAGGACTCAGCTCTTGTCAGGATGGTAGTAGGTCCTCTCTTATGTTCAGTAGTGGGAGATCCTTCCTCTGGACCGTGCTTCTTCTTCAGAAGGTTCTGACTTGCTCCTTTATAGAATAAGCCTCAACTCACTATGTGCCTGTCTTTTCTTCTTCCTCTGCGCCACTTTAAAATCTTTGGTTACACTCTGGTATTTCAGTATATGATTTCTCGTCCACAATGTCCAGATGTACCCTTGAATAAAACTACCATATATCCAGAAATGAGATATATAATTAAGGAGGTTTTCCCCTTCTTTTTCTCTCTGTCATAGTCATTAATCAACATCCTCTGCTTCAGGGTCAATTCCTTTCTGTAACTCGGTATCATGAGCTAATTGGTTTCTTGTCAAATTAATTCTGTTAATCAACCTAGGGATTGTTTAATGCCTTTTCATCTTTTTCTCAAATTACTTTTTAAATTTACTTCTTAGTTACAGCTCACATACAATATTATATTAATTTCAGGTGTACAATGCATTAATTAGATATTTGTACAACTTACAAAGTGATCACCCATGATGATGGTCTAAACTCTCTATAGAGAAAGAATTTCTTAGCTTCCCCCCTTTCCATAGGCTGTAACAACACTGAGCCTACATTCCAGACCTATATTTTGGCAGGAAAAATACATGCCTTACACTATTCTTCTTGTACCCATAATTTAGGATGTGTTAGAACTCCTAAATTGGGATTCCTTGTGGATTTTCTTGCCTGTAGAGGGGCAAAAATGCTGTTGGCTACTAAGTTCACCTCTCCTCAGCTCTGAGAACAGCTATTTAAGGCTACCTGCCCTGCTCAACCATCTAATATAAAGGTCCTGTCCACTTAGCAATTGAGGATCTGTAGCCTATCATAAAAATAGCTTGCAAAGATCCCTGAATTGAGAACCAGCCATTCAGCATTATAAGAAAAGCCTTCATGGGTTTTGCAGCCTCTGCTTTAACTATGTCTTCCTCTTTGGCCCTGGCCTCTGGGTTTAGAGCCCAAAATGATATTGATTTCATATTTTATTGATGTTCATTTCTTACTAACAGATATTTTTCTAACCACTAAATTAACGAACTCATTTAAAATCCAACAAATAATTATAAAAATGATTATACTTGTAAGTTATAGAACTTTTCTCCAAAGAGCTTAACCCAGATGAGAATTTCTTCAAGTTCCATCTATTTCCATTGTTCCTCCTACTAATGAGAATTGAAAGCAACATAGTTTACTGTCCCTGTGTCAAACAAGGCTGGGGACAGGCACACTTTCTTGTTCTTATATTAAATAAGGTTGAGAACAAGCAAAAACCATTTGGGTCTTACTCCAGGGAAATCCTTGCTTCTGGAAGCTAAGACTGTAAACCCCAAAATACAGTAAACACTAGTAGCTCACTCTTCAAGAGCGTCTTAAGATTTTGCCTCATCAGCCCCACCAACCCAAGGTTATTATGTCCTAAACTCGGCGCAGTCTCCTCTAGTTGCCCGTCTTGTAAGATCCATTTAAATATCCTCCAGCCCAGGCTCTAAAACTCGATAAATATCCTCCCCTGACGTTCCCCTTCTGCTACTGAAACACTAAGGCTCTGTCAAGGTGGGGCACTCCCTTGCTCTAATAGGTCTGACAAATTTAGCTTTGCTTCAGTAACAGGTTTTGCTGGTGGTTTCTTGTGGAGTCAATTGTCAACACTGACCTCTTCTCGCCTATGTTTTTCTTCTTTGGGGATGTTATCTGCTGGTGCTATGTCCCCAACGATGCATTCTGCCATATCGTGAACCAGGGCTAGGCGTACACATCTGACCAGGCAAGAAATGGTGAATAATTACATAGGATTATATTCATTACAAACTCCTTCCCTAGACTATTTTCAAGTTACATAATATATTATGCTTTCTTTACTGTCACAGAGTATTTTAATACAGTATTTCCAAAAGTAATTATACTTTGCCAACTTTCAGCAGTTCTGAATCGAAACTGTTAATATTCAACACAAAACATGAGAATGCAAAGGAAATTGTTAGCCTGTATCTTTTTAGAAATGGCTGTTTTCTCATATATCACTTTAAAAGATAACTTCAGATTTCAATGCCAGGAGATGATCTGGTTATAGCATTTAGTTACTGATACAAAATTGAGAAACAATCATTTCTCCAATATACTAGTTAGATGTCAAAACGAGGCCCTTTACAGAAAAATGAAGAGTTGGACAGATCTGGGTTCAAATCTAGCAACTGACATTTATTAGCTGTGTGACTTTTGCCAATTTACTTAATTTCTTTAAATGCTAAGTTTTCTCAGCCTTCATTTTCTCATCTGAAAAAGAGAGAAAATAGTTCATAAGGTTGGTATGAAAATTAAATTTGATAATTTATGTTCCAGGCACATGTTCATGCAACAAATGGCTATGATTATCAATGATAATGAGTACTGATTAGGATAATCATTGCCAAAATAATGAAGGCAGGTCATGAGACGAATGTCCCAGAGAGCCAGTCTCGTTAAAATTCCCACTGTTACCAAGACAGTACAAAGCCTAACTGACTCCTTGTAGGTGTCCCCTCCCTACCTGTGGTCTCTCCAGGATCAGTTAAAATCTCAGACTACTCTTGGGTTTATCTCCATTCGACACAATGTTTATCTTGTACTGTTTGACAAATATCTAAGTTCCACATCATCTACAGAGTAGCAGGGCTTCTCAGATTCCCTAATGAAACTTTACTGCAATTAAACTGATTTACTTATTATTTCCAAAGTATACCTTCACCTTTCTGCCATCGGGGCTCTCGCTTCCATGCCCGTTCCTCGGCATGCTGTGCCTTCTACTCCTCCACCTAGTCAACCTTTCAGAGCTTATCTCAGAGTCCCAAGAACAGGTGCTCTCTCCTCTGGAGTATGTGCTAATTTTCTAACATAACTTATTTTTGAAACCACTTTGGGCCTGTGTGTTTATTTAATGTCTTATATTGCTAGGAACTTTGTCCTGTGCTCAAGAAAGTATTCTACTCTATTGCTTGACTGACAGGAGAGAATATCTCTTTCTCGGCTACATCTTACACATACCACTCCAAAAAGTCATCTTGCTGAAAGGGGCTAGCTAGATAAAAGTACACAGTAGCACTACTACAATGATAAAATGTAAGACATAACACACTCACTTCACAGGCCCGGACACCCTAGTATATCACACGTATGTTTCCTTGAGACCAAGGCAGGCTCTTTCACTTGCCAAGAGAACACTCAAGAGTGCAATTTACAACTCAAGCAGCAACACACAGAGTTGCCCATTCTCACATCCTGAATCTGCATGGTTTGCCTCAAATAATTTTTCTTTACATATAAACCAACCTACAAGAATTTGACACACACCTCAGTCCTGAAAAGCAGTGCATAATCACAGAGCAGAGACCCGATCTGACAAACACTCGTATTTCCAGCTTACCGGTCTTTGTTGAGGTGATTATCTTTGGTCACCAGAGCCATAATTGCCATCCTGTACATGTGATCTGATACACTCTCTGGCCTCTCGACATTTCTGTACACCCAGCCAGTCCGTGGGACTCTCTGATGAAAATGAAGAAGAAAAATAAGTTTATAAAAATAAATATTTTACCTACCTGCGATGCTCTTCAAGAGAAGTCCAGGGAGTTGGACACAGAAACAAGATTAATGGTTTCAGAGCAAATTAAAAAATACTTAACTAAAATGACCGACACCTATAATCAAATAAACCAGTGAGTGAAGTAAGAGAACGACAGAGGGGCGGGGGGATAACTCACAAGTATACAATAAAAAGTAATAGTCAAGTTACTCTGTGTTACTCATGTATAAATTTCAGAACACATACAAGTCCTTTAGACATAAATCAAAAGTGTAAAGTAGCTTATTTTTCATAACTACAAGCCTTGGGAAGTTTTGCCTTCCAACAACCCCTTTAGACAGACACCTCGAACACCCTTGTGAAAGCTCTTAACTTGAACAAGTAATAGACTTCCAAATTCTTAAGCAGAAGGCATAATAGCATTTCTAAAGATTCTTCCTTTTATTCACATCATGATGTGATCTTGTTAGAATGCATTTCCTCCTTGGAAGTCTACATTTCTGAAGAATTTTATAAACTATAATAATAGTGGCAGGGAAAAGATATTCTGGCAGGTTGAACTTGGCAGAAATTGAGCAACATCACTAACGGGGAGGGGGTCACTCCGCATGTCACTCCAGTGGGTACTATCTAAAATCCTCTGTTAAAAAACAAAAACAAAAACAAACAAACAAAAACCCCAGAAAGGCTTGTTTATTTTGTAAGTAATTGTGGGTCAGATTTTTGACCACTCTGCTTAAAATCTGCGGGACTGAAGGGTGCTCAGAAGCTGACCCCACCCGCCCAACTGTGCCGCAAATGTACTCAGGGCAGACGCGGGCCAAAGCAGAGGGTCCCGCACGTCCCCGCGCCGGCCGCTCCCCTGAAACCTGCGGTGCGGCTGCCCCGCCGGCCCCAGCCGAGCCCCAGGCGCGCCTCCCGACGCGGGAGGTCCGCGGTTCGCACTCCACCCGGCCGGGGGGCGGCCTAGAGGCTGGCGGCGCCCTCTCCGCCGGCTCGCTTCCTCCGCCTACCGTCAGCACGCACGGCGTCAGCGGAGGAGGTCGCCCTGCCCGAGCCCGCGCAGGGAGTCGGAGGGTCCGGCTCGGCGGGCGGCCTTGTCTTTCGCGGCCGCCCCGGCCTCTCTCTGTGCGGCCTGCCCCGGCCTGCCCCGGCCCGCCCGCCGGCGCCCGCTCACCTTGAGCTGCCCCACCAGTCGCAGGAACTGCAGCAGGTTCCGGGCTCCGTTGACGGAGCCGGCCACGGAGGAGGCCAGCGCCATGTGGCCGCGGTCCCGATAGGCCTAAGCGGGCCTTGAGGCTGCCGCCCGAAGCCCCGCCCTTCCCCACCCTCCTGCTCCTCTTCCTTCCTCCTCCTCCTTCTCCCTCCTTTTTCTCCTCCTCCTCCTCCGCTCCCTTCTTCCTCTCTCCTCCCTACTCCTTTTCTTCCTCCTCCTTCTCTACTCCCTCACCTGGTTTCCCCAAACCCTTTTGTCCTGTCTTACACCTTTCTGTCTTTGGTGCTTACCCCCTGGGCCAGACACAGTGCTTGGCACATACCTGCACTTATGCTAAACTCTGTTTAACGGAACTGCGTCAAACTTTTATAAGGATTGCCACAGTTCGGGGCAGGGAGGATGGATGGGGGCAGGTGCATATTCTAGGAGGAGAAAGAAGACTAAGCCATATTGCACTAAACTCTTGCCTTTTAGGGACTCAGAGTCTGGTTGGGGGGGAGATAAGAACTCTGCTTACAGATGGGCCAACTATAAACATTTAACAGAGGCACAAGGAAAGTACTTCCAAAGGGAGAAATTAGGAATGACAAAAGTACCGGTAGGACTTGGGAGTTAGTCATAGCCAAGGACTTTGGAGGTAAGACATAAATGGGCTGGAGAGTGAAAACAATTCCAGGATGTAATCCCAATTTCCCTTAACACCTCAAGTGCTGAAGAATCCCCTAACCCCCCAAAATTGGCCAAGATCTGTCTTGACCATCTGTCTTAATTCCATCAACAATCAATGGTAACAGTTTTTAAAGGTATTTAGTAGACAAGCATATGGAAGGACTCAGGGAAAGAATAATGCTGAGAATAGATTATATGGGGCAGAGAGGAAGTAGAGAGTCCAATCAAGAGACTATTGAAACAATGCTTTGGAGAGATGGTTTTGGTTTGGTCCAGGGTGATAGCGGTAGGGGTGCTGAGATGTTGAATTTTGGATGCAACTTAAAGGTAGGACTAAGAGGATTTGTGACAGATTGGACATAGGGAGTGAGAGAAAGAGAGGAGCCAAGGATGACCACTACTTTTGGCCTGACCACCTGGAAGGATGGAGTTGCTATTTGCTGAGCTAGAGAAAAGGGCAAGAATAGTAGGTGGTGGGGAAGGGTAGGAACCAGATGTTTAGTTTAGGACATGTTGAGATGCCTATTACAGATTCTGATAAAGATACAATCTGGAGGTCAGGAGAAAGGTAAAAATTTTGTGTCATTAACATGTAAGATGGGGCCCTGGCTGGGTAGATCAGTTGGTTAGAATGTCATCCCCATATGCCAAGGCTGCAGGTTCACTCCCTGGTCAGGGCACACAGAAGAATCAACCAATGAATGCAAAAACAAATGGGAAAAAAAAATGAAAGATGATTTGTAAAACCATGAGCCTGAATGAGAACAGTAGGTGAGAAAGTATGGAGGAAGAAGAAAAGATATCTAAGGCCTAAGCCCTGGGGCAACTCAACATTCAGAGTGTGGAAGACCAAGAATAAGCAGCCAGTGAGGAAGAGGACTAAGAGATAGTTGTGTCCTGGAAGTCAAATGAAGAAACTATTTCAAGAGGGAAGGGCTATAGGCAACTAAGTCATATCAGATAAGGACTGAGATTTGACTACCTGACCTAGCAAATTCACTGTGGTGACCTTGACAAGAGAAGATTCAGTTGAAGTGGGGCAAGCAGAACCCCAAATGGTTCCACAGAGGATGGGAATAAGTATTGCGACTCATTTAAAATGGGTGGGGCTACTAGAGGAGAGACTTTTTTAAGACAGAAGGTAGTATAGTATATTTATTAATTGGTAGAGTGATTTAGTCGAGAGGGAAGAATTGATGAAGAGACAGAAGGGAAAAATCCTGGAATGATGGCTTTGAGTAGGTAGAAGAGGACATAATCTAGTGTAAAAGATGAAAGATTAGCCTTAGGAACATGGAGAATTCAGCCATAATACAGAAGGAAGGAAGAGCGTATGGTGATTTCTCTTCTGATTGCTTCTATTTTCTCACTGAAGGAAAAGCCAAGTCTAGACTATGTTGTGTTGTAGTAACAAGCAACCTCTGTACATCAGCGGTTTAACCCATCAAAGGTTAAATGTTTATAGCTGGTCAGTGAGGGATGCTCCTCTTACTTCATCCAGGGAGCTAGATGACTCTTTGAAATTAAAATAGGGTTATCTTGGATCACCCAGATGAGTCGAATGTAATCACAAATTTCTCTGAAGGTAGAAGAGGGAGACAGGAGAGTTAGTGTGGGAGTGAAGCCGTGTGAGAAAGACTGAAATGGCCATCGATGGCTTTGAAGATGGAATGGGGTCATAAGCCAAAGATCGCAGACAGTCTCCACAAGGTAAGCAAGGTAGGAACATTAGATGCTCCCCTCCATCCTCCAGAAAGAAATGCAGCCTGGCTAACACCTCAGGTTTAGCTCAGTGAGATCCATTTTGGATGCCCGACTGCTAGAACTGGAAGATAATAAACGTGTGATGCGCTGTATTAAGCCACTAAGTTTGTGGTAATGTATTACAGAAGCCATAGGAAACTAACACAGTGACTAAACACATTGGTTGGCGTGGCCCCTTTTTACCAACTACCCTTCTTCACCTTTTTTCCCCCTGAAAAGTTGAAATTGACAAGGCCCTTTGTCCTCCTCCAAATCAATGACATATTTCAAGGAGCTGGTTGCCAACCACTAGCATCAAGGGAAATAGGAATCAATTTCTTTCCACAGAAGGGGGTGTCCGTTTAAAGCCATGCACAAGGAAAAAATTTGCACCACTTACTTGAGTCCATTAAAAGATGAAATGAGAAGGCTCTCATTAGAGGGCTTGTTCACCTGGGCTCAAGATATACTTTAGGGGTATCTGTGAATATTCTAAAATTGCCTACAAATTGTGTTAGTTATGCGGAGCTTTCTGTTTACTAGAACCTTAAAGAGGTCTCTGACCAGAAAAGAAACAAACCCATTGTTGAGAAAGCTGCTTCAATATGCCGCTGTCGTAGAATTCACAGACCTTTGGTCTTGGCATTATAAACAAGCAAAAAAATTAACACTGAGTGAGCCTGTTGGCAAAATGTATTGTTATACATCTCAGCTAATTTTAATTCTCCCAACATTCCTCTAAAATATTAATAGCCCCACATTTAAATGAGAAAACAGAGTTGCCCAGAAGCTGAAGAGCTGGCCTAACTTTTCATAGGCTTGAAGCTCTGGTCTGTGTGCACACTAATTTCCCTTCCTATAACACCCTGTTGCTTCCCAGCCAATTGACTATTAGTATCTACTTCTTATCATTGTAAAATTAAAGTGATTGCATGAAATAGACTTTGTAAATTGTTACATGCAAAGAATTGGGCAAGAAAATAGAAAATGATGGATTGCTCTGAGAAAATTTTCCCAGAAGACATTCGTGAATATGCTTAAGGAACTAACTAGACAGGAAAGCCCAAGTCTGACTAAAATCCAAGGGCCCCCCTCCCCTTTAAGACATCTCAGGGAGAAATCGTGCTTCTGCCTGCTGTATCTTCACAGGTGGAAAGGTTAGTAGTTGGTCTGCATCGGCCGTTCTCAAGCTCTGGGTGATTTTGTTCTCAGGGAATATTTAGCAATGTTTGGGGACATTGTTGTTGTCACAAAGTGTGTACGTATGTGCATCTAGTGGGCAGGGGCCAGGGCTGCTCCTGAACTCGTACAATTCCCCAGACAGCCTCCCCCGATAAAGAATCGTCTGGTGTGAAAGATCACTCGTGCAGAGTTCAGTGAGCCAGTCTCTGTCCAAAAAAGAAAATACTTATAATTAAATTCCTTACAGTGTTGATGAATTACAATCAGCAGAGAAATGATGTTATATTTACATTAAAATGAGTGGGGTAGGAAAAGGAAATAAAACAATTTTCATACGGTAACCAGTCTTAAAAAAAAAAGAAGAGAAAGTTTCCTGAGCTTGGCTCTGGTGGATATTCTGGAAAGATGAGGGGAATTTGAGGTGGGCTTTGATCATTTATATAATGAGGTTAATGTAGGATAACAAGTCTGGGGACAAAAGAACATTACAAAAGGAATGTTTGTCCAAGGGAAAGTGACAGGGCTTTGTTCTATTTTGTCATTTTCTTGCGTGTGATAGAGTACTTTAGGGCAGCAAAAAAGTCAGAGCGTGCACCACTCTCCCCATAAAGGCAGCCATTAACCAAAGAGCTACGGGAGGCCTTTCTGCTGAAATGAGCAGCCGCAGAGTGAACAAAGCCTATGCTGGCTCAGGGCGATGCCAAAGACATTGCCCAGAGAGATGTGCCGTCTTTCCAGGTAACCTGGAGTGGAGGCAGGGCAGCAGTTTGGCTCCAAGCCAATTACCATTATTAATAGGTGGGGAAAGTCACCTCTGGGCACAGCTGGATTACAGACTGGAAGGATCAGCCTGTTTTAAGACAGCATTATGTTTTGTTTTAAATTATTATCTGAGTAAATACAGTTGACCTTTGAACAACATGGGTTTGAATTGCACACGTCAACTTGTACACTCGTTTTTTTCAATAAATATAATAAAAGCATCTTATGATTTTCTTAATACTTTCTTTTTTCTATCTTTATTGTAAAAATATAGTATATATTATATATAACATACAAAATATGGGTTTATTGACTGTTTATGTTGCTGACAAGGTTTCCAGTAAACAAGAGCCTGTTAATAGTTAAGTTTTAGGGGAGTAAAAATTCAAACTTAGATTTTCACCTGAGCCTGCGGTGGTCAGGGGGGAGGGGGTTGGCTGGTGCCCTAATCCCTGTATTCTTCAAGGATTAATTGTAATCCCTTCCGCCAGTTTTTGGCTAAGCCCTCAAATCTTCTACACAGATGACCATCTTCAGTACTAAAGATTTCCTTAATTGTACAATAATTTTTAGCTACTTAGGATCCATCTTCATCGTATGGGATGGCCTTGAGCTTTTGTCTCTCTGGAGTGACCAAAGCTATGGCTCGCCCTCTGCGGCATGCATCAGGCACGGGGCAGGGACTGCAGGTGAATTTCCCAGAGGACCTTGGCACCTGCCACGGGGAGCTGCTACCTA